ACTTCTGTCCTGACCTCCGTTATTAATCGAGCTATGGTGCAGCTACTATTTCCCCCAAAATTTTCTCTGCAGCGACCTGGAGGACTTGGAGTCAGCTGAACCAAGCGGTCCTTCTGCGCTGGCAACGCTGCAGGTTCCACTCAGCTTGGATTTGCTCCAAAGTGGTGGTGATGGCAACGGGTATTGATCAGGACCACGGGGACCACTGAGAGAGCCAGCATGGTGTAGAGGACAGAGTGGCAAACCAGGACCGTGGAGGACCTGGGTTTGAATCCCCACTTCTACCATGGAAACTTACCAGGTGACCTCGGGCCCATCATAACCTCTCAGCCTGGCCTACCTCACAGGGTCATTGTTGTGAGAAAATGGAGGAGAGGAGAATGATTGTTCTAAGCCAGGGGTCCCCAACCTTTTTGAGCCTGCGGGCACGTCTAGGATTCTGACACAGTGCTGTGGACACAATAAAGAATGTTTGCCACAGGAAGCGGAGTCCATCACAAAATGGCTGCCGCAGGAGGCGGGGCCAACTGCAAAATGTCGGGGAGCAAGGTTATCTATCATTTTGATAGTAACTCTTCAACATTCCGTGCAGGAAGCCTCTGTTTAACAGGAGGGCTTTTCATCTGCGTGGCCAATCAGAAGCTTTGCTGGGCTAAAAAGCCCACCTATCTCTGTCCACTTTTTGAAAGCACTTGGCAGGCACCAGGAAAGGGGTCAGCAGGGGCCAGATCGCCCACAGGCACCACGTTGGAGACCCCTGTCCTAAGCCACTGTGAGTCCCAACTTGGGAGAAGAGTGGGACATATATGTTGTTTGTTGTTGTTCAGTCACACAGTCGAGTCCGACTCTTCGTGACCCCATGGACCAGCTCCTGCCAGGCCTTCCTGTCTTCCACCGTACTCTGAAGTTTGCTCAATTTCATGTTCGTTGCACCTATGACACTGTCTAACCACCTCATCCTTTGCCGTCCCCGTCTTCTCTGACCTTCAATCTTTCCCAGCATCAGGGTCTTCTTCTCCAGTGAGTGCTCCCTTCTCATTGGGTGGCCAAAGTATTTGAGCTTCAGTTTCATTATCTGGCCTTCCAGGGAACAGTCAGGGTTGATTTCTTTTAGGATTGACTGATTTGATCTCCTTGCAGTCCAAGGGACTCTCAAGAGTCTTTATATATAAATATATGTCAAGAGTTTTATATATAAAACATATATAAATAAATGCAAACACAATGCATGGATGCGCTTGATTCAGCTTCTTCCAGGGCCCTTTTAGAATTCTGGTCCTCTCTGATTGGCCTGCAGAGGATACAGCATCAAGGGCTGCGACTGGCTCCTCCCCTGATGCATACTTTTACCCCTACCCTATTCTTTGCATGATAGGGCAGGCGCAAGCACACCAATGGCTGCTGGAACAAATGTAGAGTCCAGTGGCACCTTTAAGACCAACAAACGTTCATTCAAAATACGAGCTTTTGTGTGCATGCACACTTTCTCAAATACACTGGAATGGAAGCCCATGGCATGAGCTGAAGCCGTGTTGATTTTCCAAGATCAGGAAGCACATGGATCCTTTAAATCGGAGTATTTTCTGCTGCTTTGTTTGGCTTTGTGTGTCTGCCTGCATTTCCCATTTAGGCTTCTTGTCTCAAACAGAGGATGAAAGGAAATGATTCATGGGTATGGCATGGCTTGCCGCTCAGTATCTGTAGCCCTGTGGTTTTGCCCCGTCTTTTCTTCTGAAAGCACTAAGGGCCTTTGTGTCAAATAAAAGGGGAAAAAATACTGCTAAAGTCATGTGAGCATCAGGTACCACTCAGTGGCTTGGATCCAGTGATGCGCAAGCAGAAACAGAAATGGACTTAAGTGGAATAGAACAAAGTCTGAGTCCAGGGGCACCTTTAAGACCAACAAAGTTTAATTCTGGGTATGAGCTTTTGTGTGCAGGCACACTGCTTCAGACCAACATGGCTACACACCTGGACTTAAGTACAGTTCCTCTTGTGCAGCAGTTAGCACTTTTCTCCTATATATTATAGTTCCAAGAAATCAGCTGCACAAAATCTTACACCAGTGGGAATGTAGGTGGGAATACAATAAGTCTGACTTGGAATGCGTGACTACTGTGGTCTCTTTTTTTGCATTTCTGCTTGCAGATGAGCTCTAGTGCAAGTGGAGATTTTGCACTGGATCCAACCCAGTACATGGAGCCTATTTTCCGTGTTAGGTCCATAACCATTCTGTCTCTAATACGAGAAGGAAACTGAAAAGTACTCAGAACGAAGAGTGATTTCAGCAAGAGTACTTTATTTAGTGAAGAACAAGACAGGGACCCCCGGCACGCAGGCCGGTATATGGAACTGCGTTCCCCCACGTTCCCCCCCGAAATGACCTCTGGGTCCATAACCATTCTGTCTCTAATACGAGAAAGAAACACAGCTGGGATGGGATTATGCAGATAGAAACTGGCTTGATGCTTAACGATTGTGGGTGAAAACAGTTGAGATGCTAGGGGATTTGTGATAAGATCTTTAAAAGGTTTTTAAAATACTAACCAAAGCTGTGTGGGATGATTGGGAACCCCCCCCAAAAAAAACAGGTATGTGAGAGGGGATTAACTGTTTAACTCCTGTGCAGTGTTCCCTCTAAGCTGAGTTAGTGTGAGCTAGCTCACTGATTTTTAGCCTCTGGCTCACATATTTTTCTCTTCGCTCAGGAAGGAGGGCTCCAGAGCAAACTAATTTATGCAGTAGCCAAATTCGCTCGCTCACAGCTTTAATGCCAGTAGCTCACAAAGTGGAATTTTGGCTCACAAGACTCCTCAGCAGGACCTGCAAGATGGAGCTCTTCCGCCAGGCTTTCACGTTGGGGCCACCACCACCACCATCGGCGTGGGTAACAATGGGGCTAGGGGGACAGCCCTCGGAAGATCTGCCATAACATTGCGTGGCACTGGTACCACTGGACTGGCTATGTACCAACTACAGGACAATACCACCTCCCATGGAAGACCGATATCATTTTGTAATTTATTCGAAGACCATCTTGCTTCTACTGAGCACTTTATTTTTGTTGATATTGATGGTTTTATGGTTTTGTCTTGTTTTTATGTGTGGGCACTTGTGCTCTCTTGTAAGCCACCCTGAGCCCACTTGCGGGGAGGGAGGGGTATAAATACAAAAATAAATATAAAATAAATAAATAGCTTAGAGGGAGCATTGCTCCTGTGCAGTTTTGACAATCCAAAACTGAAACCTATGCACCTAGTTACTACTAGTCCTCAATCAGGGCTCTTTTTGTAGCAGGAACTCCTTTGCATATTAGGCCACACACCCCTAATGTAGCCAATCCTCCAAGAGCTTACAGAGCTCTTCTTACAGGGCCTACTGTAAGCTCTTGGAGGATTGGCTACCTTAGGGGTGTGTCCAGGGGTCGTTTCGTAGAAGAACAGCTAGGGGAACTCATTAGCATAACTCATTAGCATATGCCACACCCCCTGACATCACCGGAAGTGTGTCATAAGGCCACACCCCCTGAAATCACCAGAAGTGTGTCATAAGGCCACACACCCCGCCCCCAACGGTCCCGGCCGCCGACCTTGCAGCTC